GCCCCATCAATTCAGTTAGACCACCAACTTCCGTCCCTCCGACTGTATGTCTCGCGCAGACGTCCTATCATGTTCTCTTCACGACGCCCGCGTGATTTCCGCGGCACGCCATCGCGAGCACGAAGCCACGCTCACCTGGCATCACGTCGATGAACCGGGACTCTCTGGGGAGATTCAAGGGAGGGAAGGGAGCATCGCAGGCTACTAAAAGTTGCCCGCTCGATGGGGGCGGTTGTCCAGGAATTTTTCATCGCGGATCCTCCTATCCTACAAAACCGCGTGCGCTTCGCATCGACTCAGCCAAGCTCTGGACGATCGTCGCGTCATGCTATGCAAGGCGTTACCTCCCTTGACATTTTCCCATCGTGATCACTCCCGACCGAAACGAACGAGCCAATCGTCGCTCCTGATCCCTCAACTCACGACCATTCACATACTTACCTCGCAGAGGCTGAAAAGCCCATTGCACCCATGTGCTCCGTAGCCTCTCCAGCGACACAGGCTTTACGACCCGTGGTCCCAATCGGATCCTCAACTCTGGCGTTACTTTAGGGGCGTTGCAAGCCGTACTTGCCTTTCTCAAATTCCCAACCTTATGGACCCTCCTCTTGCAGCTTTAGGCCCCGACGAGAGGGATGGCAAGGCCTCAGCGACATCGAGGGCGAATGTAAATCCGGCATCGCGGATGTGTTGGGGGAGGGTTTCAGGACTTGTAGTGGGTCGTTATGTGAATGGTTGTCGTGGTAGCGTGGCGCGGGAGAAGTGGCGGAGTGGTAGGTCTTGTTTCTTCGTCCGCCCTTATCCGAAGTGTGTGGAACTGACCCATCCACCTCAGAATAGCTCCTCCATTACCACGTCATCGAGAATTCCAGCTTCCCTCCCGCGCATTCCTTCTCGTATCGTATACGCTCTTCTGAAGCTGCCTTCTCCGTCCCTCTAACTCACGACCCATAAACTCCTCGCAACACCTATCATGTCGATAGTTACATAATTCGCAGCGAGACGAACTCGAGTTTACCCATCGACGATGCAGGCGCCAAGGGCTCGCGACTGTGGCTTCCGGCTTGGCCTCTCGCGCAAACCTCTTCGTTGCGTGGCCGCCTTCGCGGGAACATATGCTATGTACATGTCTGTCAGTAGTATCGCGACCGAATATGCTATGCCCTGGCCTTCTGGGTCGCGGTCAGCATCGGGTGCAGTACATGCCCTGTACTGACCTCCGGACATTGGACTCCCGAGATCAGGCTATGAATAACTTCTTTCATTCCATCTTCTCGGTTAACGACCATCTCTGGGCCTCGGAGACTCTACAACCGGTATGTGTCGTATCAAATCTTCGACGGGGCGTCATGTCCGACTCATTGCTATCCTTCCGCGCAGACGTCTGCGTGGTCTGACGGTCTTCGCTGCTGCGTGTACCGTGTACGTGTTGGTTAGGGTTGGTACGCGATGTGCTATGCTGTGACCCGCTCGTTCGCGTTGGGAATTTATTCCATCGATTAGCATGCTCTCTGACGTTGAGCTTTCGTCCTCGCATGTTGCGTGGATGTGTCCGCACGAGTCTGGGACTGCTGGTACTTGTTTTGCGGGCCGTAATCCGAACGTTTACTCCACTCGCCTCATGGACCCATGCCACGTAGTGGGCATGGCGAGTTCGCGGATCCACGAACTGAGATAGCAACTCGACATTTTCAACATTTTCCATCAAACGCAAAATTAGAACCCTCCATGATCACCAAACGCGAATCTACGCGAATCCGCTAACGGGACCAAATGACACCTCGACCACATGCTCGCATGTCGGCATCCGGGTCCCCACGCGGTGTCGGGACCGCGTCCCTGCGCGAAAAAAGGTATAAAGGCCATCCAGTGCAGCTCTTGGATTTCTCCAGAGCCGGCCTCTTAACAACAACAACAACCCAACTATCACCATGAAATTCTCTTCTGCCATCCTTTTCACCCTCCCCGTCGTCCTCGCCAGTTGGACTGCCGTCGCTGAGCCCACTGTCGCAGCCCGCGACTTGGCACAGCTCACCCGCAACAACCTCGTTGCACGCCATACGGCGGAGTGGGACGTCTATCGCAGGGACTTCGAGCCTGAGACCCTCAGCGCTAGGCGTACTTGCGTGACTTCCAAGGATTGTGAGTCTTCCTTTGAATTTGTCTTATCATCTCTCGATGTTAAATACGTCCTCCGCAGGCTTGGGAATGATCTGCATCAAAGGGATCTGCAAGTAAAGGACGATACCTGATCAACGTCGTGAGTAGCGTGTCTGTCCTTGATCATTTTTGTCTGGAGGTTGACGGTGTCCTTTGGTAGGTATCCGCTGGTAGTGAAGCAGACTGTAGATGCATGGTTTTTAGTAGTCGGTGTATGTCTGTGACTTGTAACCGGTGGAATCAAAGTTGTGTTACGGCAAATTGTTGGCTCGTCTAAGTTCAGCGACTTTTCTACTCGAACACACTAAGACTACCAAGGATTACTGGTGGCAAAAGTAAACTGTAATCTAAAGTATCTAATGGGCTCTGAACCTTGTTGGCGCTTCTTGATGATAAGGTCGGCTACCTATCATGTCTCTGCTAGTCCGACAGCATGGATACCTTTGGTCTGCCTCGGTGTTCATAGTTGGCATGTTCTTTTCTCGGAGGATACGGCTTGGCTAAGTCAGTGACGCGAACTGCCAATGCCCATGTCAGCCAATGTTGCAACTTCTTATTGGCGAACTAGAAATAATATGCCGACGTCGGAGATCAAGGGATCTTGCCGGACAAGGGCCTGGCCATGATGACGATAGGGCTACTTCTGATACGCCTCACGCTAGCCTTGCTATTCTTCGTCTTGTTCGCCATCTCGTCCATCACGGCTTTGAGACTTCAAGCCGGTCTTCGCCTCGACAGAACGGGACAGAATCTAAGTGATCCTGGACCTCTCACAACCGGCGGTAAGTCTCCGTTATATTCCACACGCCAGTTGACTGACGAGCAGGCCGAACCAGTCTTCTGACATCAGAAACGCTGGAAGTCCTCGCATTCGTGGATGCAGTCCAACCATTCTAGCACCTCTGACTCCAAACGCGCACGCACATGTCCGAAGATTCATCATTGCCGCAACAACACCCCGCTTTCGATTTGAACGATATGATGTACGGGATGCCAAGCCTGGACGTCGGTCAGGATCAAACATCCTTTGTTCATCTCATGCCGAACGAAGTTCTCGGCGAAATTTTCGAATGGCTGCGTTGTTTGCCACCTGCGACGCCCGGTGATCCGCAGCATGGGCAGCCCCGCGGACAACCGATGTCCAGTCCCATGCTTGTATCGCACGTATGCGGCCGCTGGCGAAAGGTTGTCATTGAAATGGTCTCACAGTGGAGTCATCTCGAGATATATTCCACGCGCTGTCCAGAGGTCTTCTCAGATTTACTATCCAGGTCCAAAAAATCCGTTTTTTCGCTTGTAATTTGGCTCCCCACCCTTGACGTAAAGCGACGTCCAGATGCTCAACAGGTTGAATTCGGGGAGACCTTCAAGGCCTTGAAGAGGAATATCCCCCGTGTCCGTTATCTCCACGTCCGATCAAACAACGCGACATTTAGCCTGATATTCAACACGTTACTCAAAAATGTCTCCTTTCCAGTCCTTGATTCCTTAATTCTTGATCAGGCCGTCCCCACAATTCGACGGTACAATGTCGGTCCTGTGAAGTTTAACCCTGCCGTCTTCCACACCCTCCGCATGGAAAATATCACGATTGACTGCGACGCCTCCAACCTGGCTGGACTGCGCGTCGTACATCTTGTCAACTCTGCCGGCACGCTCTTAGACCAGACCCAATTGACTCACTCCACATATCCACTTATCCCTACAGCCCCGGCTATTCCGCAGCTCCTCGACTTGAAGATTGATGGGAACCTCTTCACATCCGCATCATTCACACCCTCCTTCAGGATCACATCCTTACGCAGTCTCACCCTCTCGCGCATCCGTCTGCACGCTGCTTCGGATCGCGACCTCGAGTGCGTGCTCCACATGGCGTACAGCACCCTCCTAGAGAACCTCGTTCTCGACACCTTCGATACCCGCTCTTTCAGGTGCTTAGTGGAGCGTATAGCGAGCAACCTTCCGAAATACTTCAGCGTCAAGCAACTCTCCCTCGCCAAGGTCGAAATGTCGATCATCGATCACAATTTCATGAAAGCCTTCCCGCAGGTGATAAGGTTGAATCTAATCCATGGGAACCCAAACCGCATCCTAGCATTTCTCGAGCACCCAGAGTTCATGCCGAATCTGACCCACATCAGTCACAACCACAAAGTGGTCACTCGAAGAGTAAGAGCCAATCTTCCACCTCCCACTTTTGGTCCGACCCCTGCGCTGTGAGGAGGATACTAGGGCTCTTTAACTTAGGATACCGTGACCTGTTTCTTTCCTTTTCCACAGTCTAACGACCTCCCTTCTTACCATGCTTTCTTGCTATACATACCCTAATCCCTAACTTGGTGGCGGAATCAGAACAGTCTCCGGCGCGTAGTTTGAAGTGTACATCCCTTGGAACTAGCTTACACCTTTGTCGTACCAAGCGCATGCCATAATCTTAGCCAGGGAATTATGCAGCGAACAATCGAGACGGTATGCGAAGCGTGCATACAAGGTTATAGATATGTTGGGGCATGGCGAACGGCGACATGCATGTGGAGGTCATTAAAACAAGTCCTGAGGTAGCGGCCTAAGAATCTCCTGTGGACAAGATGATCGTTAGGAATCGACGTGACTATCATCTCATGCGTTACCAGCAAAGATCGGGTACATACCAGTTGCGCGATACATCTGTCATGGATATGAGGGCAAAATTGCATCACAGGCCCAGAGCACGCCCCTGGCAATCATAATAAGAAGTGTTACAACTCGCCGAGGAGAAGTTGCCACAAAAAAAAAAAAGAAGAAAGACACATCTACATCGCCGGCATACACAATCGGGAGTCCAGATAAAAAATCTGACATGCCGCGTACCCGGATTGAACGAGTGACCTTCTCATCGAACTCGTGTCAGGAGGACTTGAATACGAGTGAGACGCGCTACCACTACGCCAACGCGGCATATAAATAACCTCCGCCCTTACACCCAACATCATTTTCAGCTTCGCAAGTCAAGCTTCCAACGAACCCACCGAGCTCACCACACACACACATATGGCAACTCAACTCAAACAAGTGCGCAGGAACCTCACATAAGAATTCCGAGCGTGGTATGCGACTAACAGTAATATCGATACATCCTACATCATACACCCCCCCTAAATCTCCCCATACTCCTCCATCATCTCCCTCACCCCCTCCCGCCCCATCCCCCCCCTCGCCTCAAACCTCACCACAAACGGCATCGGATGCGCATTCGCGCTCTCCGTGAACGCCAGCTCGTCGATCGGGTGCTTAGGGTCAAGCGCCACGGTGAAGGCCCATTGGATGAGGGCCGTGTTCAGTAACACCGATCTATATATACGCAAAAAAGAGGGGAGGGGATGAGTTGAAGTGAGAGAAAAAAAAAAGAGAGGAAAAGGAGGAGAAGACGCACGCAGTAGCAATATGCTGCCCCGGACACACCCTTCGTCCAAACCCAAACGGGTACGACTTCAGATCCTCCCTCAGCGTCCCGTCCTCCCTTAGCCACCTCTGCGGGTTGAACGCCTCCGGGTCCGGGAAGACGGCTGGGTCGCGCCCCACGGACCTACATGTGCAGATAAAACAATTAAGGGAAGATTAGCTGATGGGAGGGGAGGAAGGGGGGGGGAGAACGCACCAGACGTTCCCGATGACGGTGGCGCCTTTGGGTATCACGTACTCCTTCCATATCACGTCTTTAGTGGCTTTATGCGAGAACCCTACATGCGTCCCCAAGCCCATCAGCCTTCCCAAAAAACGAAAGAAGAAAGGTAAAGGTAACAACGCACCTCCAGCCGTAACAGGCCTCCACCTAAACGTCTCCAACACAAACGCATGCAACTCCGGCAACAACACCCCCCCTCCCACCCCCCCCTCCCCCGCCATCACAGCCCTCCACCCCGGCGCACTCCCCCTCCCCACCACCCGGTCCAGCTCCTCCTGTACCTTACGTGCAGCTTGGGGGTAGCACGCAGAGGCGAGGACGCCGACGCTGATGGCGGAGGCGGTGGTGTCGGAGCCGGCGCCGAAGAGCGCGCCGGCGAGGTAGGCGGTTTCGTCGTCGGTGAGGGCGAGGGTGGATTGGCGCTCGAGGAGGTATTTGGCGAAGGATTCTGGGAGGGGGATGGGTTGTGTGGGGGTGGGGGTGTTGGGGGAGGGGCGCTCCTGGTGGTGGGGAGGGAGGGGTTAGTGGGGGGAGGGGAAGGGGGAGGGAGAGGGGGGGAACGCACGAGCTGGGCTTTGACGACTTCGAGGTGTTTCTTGAACAGCGCGAGTTCCTCCTTGTGTCCTTCCTTCAGTTCGTCGAGGTATCCGGGGATGTACCTAATTCCGAATCCAGCAAGTATGAGTGGGATGTGGAAGGGAGGGAGAGGGAGGGGACAAACCGGAGGAAGGGGTAGACGTCGACCTTCCAGACGCCGGGGCGGAGCGTGATGCCGAGGCGGACGAGACACCTGTTGACGGCGATGACGTCTGGGTCGTCGTGTGCGCCCGGGGACTTGCCGTATGCGATGGCCATGACCACGGACGCGGAGTACCTAACGTTGCCTTAATCAGGAAAGTGAGGGGGGAAGGAGGAAGGGAGGGAGTACACACCGTTTCGCGTGTTCTTGGTGGATATCGGGGTTATCAAGTATATCGAGGATATGTTGCTTCGCGCTGCGCATGAGGACGGGGCCGTACGACTGTACCACCTTGGGCGAGAGGTGTGCGTGGAGGGCCCTATTCGCAATACGCATCAGTCGCGTTTTACACATTACATACAACTACACGTACTTGCGCATCTTCTTGAATCGCTCGCCAGCGGGTGTGAGCAGTACGCGCATGCCGCCCGAGAGCGTCTCCCCGGCGGATATGGACGTGGGGCGATCAGCGAGTGAGGCGCCCTCGCGCTCCATAATGTCCACGGCGGCTTGATAGCGTCCGACCACGATGATGGTGTTTAGCCCTTGGCGCAGGGAGAACACGGGCCCGTAGATTTTAGTCCATTCCTCGAATTTTCGGTATGCGCTGTCATGGGTACCTACGTAAGCTTCGGGTTGAGATGAATAGATAAGAAGGGATGGCGTACAAGGCGTTCGGGAGCTCGTGCCCGAATATCCAGCTATCGGGTGGGGGACCGGGGGGGAGGGTGGAGGAGCGGTGGGTGAGTTTGCGGTGGATGACGCCGAGGAGGGTGGAGATGAGGACGAGGGCTGCGATGGACCTTGGATCGGTGAGGATGTCTAGTAGCGGTGGTGGCATTGATGATTGTGGTGATGTCGATGATGTGGAACAGGAATTGAGGTCAGGAGGGCCGGCTTTGAATGAAGCCACAAGATCCGGGGAATTGGAGGACGAGTCCCCACAAGGCACGAGATCCGGCGGGGTCTGTCTGGAATCCGAACCCATCCCCGGTTCGCGTGCTTTTATACTTTATAGGGGCAAGCCTCAAGAGCATGCACCGCTCTCGCGAGTCGCTGCTGCATGTGAAGAATCATTCTCGATGCGTGGATCACCGTGCACATCTCACCCCCAATTCTGGGCTGGCTTCCTGGGCCCCTTCCCTCGTCTTCCCCACCGATACACACACGACCCCCGGCGGCCTCATATATTCTTGCGATGTCATGGTGAGGTTGCTTTGGAGTCTGACTCTTTGACGTTGGGATGGTCACGGTGTGCGGGAGGATGCCGAATCGGGCAAGCTTGGGGCAAGCGATCATTTTTCTCAGATTGTCTCAACCCTCGTCCTCGCCCATCGGACGCGTATATCCTTGGCTCTGTTCGTATCCCTGCTTCTGTCAAAGCTTCCAACCTCGCTTTGTCGACATCGCGGAGATGTCGCGTCCACGTCGAGAACGATGGCATCGGTGACATCGATTGGCTCTGCCTCGGGAAAATAGACCGAGGACCGACGGCATCGTACGACGCGCGAATCGTTTTCATCTACTTTTTTCTGTCCTCGTTCAAATCGATATCATGAACTACACTTGCCTTCCCGACTCCTTCAAATTCCTGCTGCTCTAACGCCTAACACCAAGTCTTTCAACCGTCCCTTGATCGGCCTTGACCTACACCCACCCCATGATCAGATTCACAACCCATACGGATCCTCTCATATCCCGTCCTCCTCCCCGCCCCCCACCGTCTGTCCATCCTCAGCCTATGTTAAACTTCGGCCAGTCAACCTCCCCTGTTATTAATAGACCACCGGCGCCCCATGGAGAAGGAGAAGGGAGCAGCCAATCATTGCTGTACGATACTCGAGTCGATATCATCATGACGTCGCAACATCGATTACGGACTTCTTCTGCGCAAGATAAGGCAAGATCCGTGCAACGTTGTGTTGCAGGCGAGGACACACCTTACCGGGACCCATAGCACGGATATCGATGGTTGTATCACGTACGTGTACGTATACAATTCACTTTCTAGGATCACAAAGAGCATTAACGCTGAGCGATAAGCACACCGGAAATAGGAGTTAGGAAATAGGAAATAGCGCCTTAGTCACGATTCACGACTCCCTATCCACCCACATATCCGACATCCCAGCAACGCGACAACACAACACGACAGGGCCTCGGGGCGGACCATCATCTCTGCCAACCTATCAAGTCATATGTAATCCGATTGTCTACCGTCACCCTCCCAACGTCAAACGCCACCCCCAAGGAGGTTACCCCTGCTACCGCCGCTCCATACTCCCCCCTTCATACTCGTATACCCCCTCCCCCCTTCTCAAACTCGGACAGCCAGCGACACTTCCCCATCCATTGGAGAAGCATAATTTATCATAAAGCATAGAGTATTACTTTACAGCGCGCACGGGCAGGAACAGGAAGAGGAACATGTAGACCCAGAGACATACTCCCAACGTACCCCCATGAGCATGACCATGACTTTTCCCCGGACGGATGTCTTCATATCGGGCTTGGTCAGAGGCTCGGCCTTGCAACCCGCAACACCCTATCTAGTCCCCCACATGCATATATCCCGTACACCGCGTTGGCGTGGGCTGTATACAGTCTACAGTTACCATCTGAGCTGTGTGCTATCCGAAGGTCGCTCGTTCGAATCGAGGATGCGGTGGTAAGTGCTGAATCACAATGAACGGATTTTTTTTTCGGGGGGGAGGAGGGGTTGGAGAGGAAGGATTCGGTCTCATCGCCAAGGTACTAAGGATTATATATCGTAACTGATCTTGGAGGGTAGTGGAGGAGGAATCGTAGGCGAAGAGCGTGATGGTATCGGCGAGTATGCCGCGTTGGCGTAGTGGTAGCGCGTCTCACTCGTATTACGATAACTCTCTCTACATGTTGTAGCGATGAGAAGGTCACTCGTTCAATCCGGGTACGCGGCATGTGACACCGAATTGATGACATTTTTTCAATTTTGGTATCTTCTTAGTCGGTTTGAATGGTGAGTCAATGCTTGAAGTTGGAGGCTTGAACTTTGAAGGCATCTATCATGGACACGATTATGACAGATGTTCTTACCGCGATATAAGTACCAAATCAGTCCTTCATCTACACCAACGTTTGGATTCAAGGCGAAAACAATGTTGATGAGACACATGTGTCACGTTGAAGAACAAATATTGCCTCAATGATGCTGACCGCATAAATTCTATGGGAATAAGTACAGATATTTCGAGAGATTTACATCACCTTGTAAAGCAGGTGTATTACACGGCAACCGCCGGACATCGCTTAGCAGAGACGCGTGTGATCAATAAGGAAAGTCGGCGCGCTCGACGTGATAGACCAAAATTGAGGCTCGAAGACGTGTTCTCCTGCCAGAAATCGGTATATGTCGAGCTTGAAGCAGCTGTAATTAGGGTAAGAAGTTAGATAGACTATTGTGATGTGGTTGCTCGAAAAAAAATTCAATTTTTGGGCTTGGTAACTGTTGAATTTTTTCACTGTAAATCCTCCATGTATTGTCCAAGGAAGATCACATTCCGACAACCCATTAGAGCCATGAGAACTGGGGGAGCTGAGAATGGGACCCTGCGCGTCCCCGCGCGAATTGCGCCAAGGCCTGATCCCGGACCCGAATTGATGGACCTGTCATTGTCAAGCTGATTTACCGGCTTGCTGGCCTGGCTCGTGGGCTGTAAAACAGCGCCGTAAATCAGGCTGATTTACCGTAAATCACTCAGAAATAAGTGCTTATGCAACTTATTGCTGCCATTTGGGAACTTTTGTGTATTTCTGCCTAAGAAAGCGGCAAAGTTGGGGCATAGAGCTGGCATAGAGCATGCTAATACATCATGCTCCTATATCAATATACCTGCAGCCTATCCAGCCATTTTTATTTTAATTATCAATCTAATGACATTGTTATCCCCCCAGGACCTTCATCTGGTCATCTCAAGAGCTTCAAGCAACTATTGATGTTGAAGCCGGTATAGGCCAAGACCGGACTTGGCAAGCTTTCCATTACAGGGCCGCGCAGCGCCGAAAAAAATTATATTGTTACAGGCCTAGATAAGACGGCGACGGGTGCGTAGCGGCGTCGAGCGACGAGAGCAGGAGGCGACGCGTTTCTCGCAGACGCGACCGGTCACGTGACTTCCGATCACGGCCAATGCCGGACAGGTTTTTTCCCATACGCCAAAGGCCTGTAAATCATTCCTAATAAGTAAGCCTGGATTCCATGTCGCTCTCTCAATATAAAATCTTTGAGAGCCTGTTCAGTAACCGGATCGTTTGGGATCGTTTGGGATCGTTTGTTTAGACGTGACATTACGTAAGATCACTCTCTCATGCCACCGCCGACCGAGCACCAACGCTGGCTCACTCGCGCAGCCGTCTTTGTGGCGAATACAGTCGTTCTTGCTGCTCACACATATGCTGCCCAATTCTATGATAAATTGCCCTACCACACATCCGCTCTGACTGGCGAAGCATGGGTGCAAGAACTCTTGACTGGGCATCCCGACCGTATCAAAACTGAGCTCGGCATGAGGCTCCATGTCTTCCTCCTCCTAGTTCAAGAGCTGCGAGTCATAGGTCTCACAGACTCCCGGCATCTCTCTTTGGAGCAACAATTGGCCATCTTCCTGTATACCTGTGTGACTGGGCTCTCAATACGGCACGTTGGGGAGCGCTTTCAACATGCCAATGCTACAATATCCAAGTCAGTGCAGTCCCGCTCTTATTTCACCTGTGTCTGATTCATTTCCAGATATTTCCTTACCATCCTTCACGCCCTATCCTCTCCACCATTCTATACGAAATATGTTCGGCTACCCACAATCAATGACCCTGTTCCCCCGGAGATACGCAACAATCCCAAGTTCTTCCCATTCTTTGAGGGAGCGCTGGGTGCTATGGATGGATCCCACTTCAATTGCTCCCCATCAGCTGACGAGCGTGCTCTTGCTCGCGATCGGAAAGGCGGCATCACCCAGAACACTCTGGCATGCTCGTCATTCGACCTGAAGTTCCAGTACATTCTGAGTGGTTGGGACGGTTCGGCTGCAGATGCCTTGATATACCAAGACGCCCGACTCACAGATTTGACTATTCCTCGGGGAAAGTACTATCTCGCGGACGCAGGATTTGCGTTCTAGTACCTTATCGGGGAGTCCGCTATCATCTTGCTGAGTGGGGACGTGCTTCTGTTAGGTACGCCATCGAGACGAGATATTTGAATGTGATCCTTTCTAACCTATCTATAGGCCTGTAACCAAAGAGGAATTATACAACCTCCGTCATGCGTCTGCTCGGAACGTGGTCGAACGCATCTTTGGTATCTTCAAGCGTCGTTTCGTCATCCTTATCCACCCGCCAGAGTACGAGATGTCGATCCAAGTTCGAATTCCACCTGCTCTTGGTGCTGTCCACAATTTCATCAGAATTCATGATCCTGACGAGATCTTTGAGCACGAAGAGGCCATTGACCCTACACCCGGAATGTACGATGACATGCCTGGAATGTACGGTGAACTAGCGGAAGGTCCAGCAGGACGATTCGAGGTTGCCCGTGCTACATCAAGGCGTGATGGTATAGCTGCTGCAATGTGGCGAAGCTATCGGGCATTGACTGGTGGAGTGGGTTTAGAATAGACAGTAGTATCTATGTAAATACATGGTATCTAATTATCGAGACGCTTCGCCACCCACTTTTTGCGAAGAGGCTCGTTCGCCTCAATTGTCAAATAGGTATCCGCCGCGCTTACATTATCCTGGAAGAGATCAATGAGACACAGCGACTCGTCCTCCGTGAGGTGCTTCTCATTCAACATCAGCTTCTCCATCGCCATCTTCTTTCGGGTTGGAGTGCTTTCAACACCAGGCCGAGTACCAGACACGCTCGCACGGAAGGTCTCGTTAAAGTCGGCGAAACCGGCAGCAATGCCATGGAGGCCGACTGCCCCACTTAAGCGAGGTTGTTTCTGACCATGCGTCGAGGATGCCGAGAGAGCGGACTCCTTCCGTTTAAGTGGAGCGGGGGTAAAAGGCAGGACGAGAGGAGCCTGAGGAGAGACTGGCTGATCGGGAGGCGGAGTGGGCTGCCGAGCCTGGAGCTCCCGCTCAGGCGAGGGTGTCGGGGACTAATATAGAAACAATAAGAGGAATGACACTGGGTCACGACATAATCGGGCTTACCCAGTTAGAAATGGGCCGCTCGAGAGTCTCCTGGCTAACACCATCAACATCCTGGCTAGCTCCAGCAGCCGCAGCGTCGTTTGGAGCCTCAGGTTGTGATTGGGATGGACGGAAGACGTTCATTCCTCGAGCTCTTGATGGCAGAAGCCGGTGGACGTCATGGAAATGAACCCAGCCGCTGTTGGCGAAGTTCCTGGCCGGGGGCTTCCTCTGGGCAAAAATGAGATCAACGTTGCACTTTCAAGTTGAAAATATAGCTCGTACCGTCACATAGGCCTCCCAAACTGTCAAATTATGGGGCCCGATGCTTGCACCCAGCTCGTCATCCCACGAGAAGCCTGATTGAGCCTTGATATCAACAATGACCAAGCATGTGTCGCGCAGCTGTTCATGTCATGAGAAGATGCCTAGACCCAAAAGGAAGCACTCACCCTGGCATATTTCCCCTTACAGGAGTTTGCCGTCTTGGGACCACCCTCACCGGTGAACAACCCTGCCATAAACACTTCGGCGGCCTTCCATGTCGTCTTCTTGAAGTTGCCGCCATCACCAGCTTCTGCTTTTTTCTCCCACAGGAAGCTGAGTAAAGCAGTCTCATCTGCCTCGGTCCAAATAGCATTCTTTTTGCCTGACATGGGGAGCTTAAGAGATTGGAAGAACAAGGAAACCCGTTGCAGCGTTCGGCGGCTGCGACGACGTGAGATTCGAGAACCGTTTTGGGCAGAGTCACACTTAAGAGCCTGTTCAGTAACGGGATTGTTTGGGATCGTTTGAAATATTTTACTTGTTTTGGGCAGAGTCACACTTAAGAGCCTGTTCAGTAACGGGATTGTTTGGGATCGTTTGAAATATTTTACTTTTGATGAATGTGACTTAAGTGTGACTCTGCCCAAAACGGTTCTCGAATCTCACGTCGTCGCAGCCGCCGAACGCTGCAACGGGTTTCCTTGTTCTTCCAATCTCTTAAGCTCCCCATGTCAGGCAAAAAGAATGCTATTTGGACCGAGGCAGATGAGACTGCTTTACTCAGCTTCCTGTGGGAGAAAAAAGCAGAAGCTGGTGATGGCGGCAACTTCAAGAAGACGACATGGAAGGCCGCCGAAGTGTTTATGGCAGGGTTGTTCACCGGTGAGGGTGGTCCCAAGACGGCAAACTCCCGTAAGGGGAAATATGCCAGGGTGAGTGCTTCCTTTTGGGTCTAGGCATCTTCTCATGACATGAACAGCTGCGCGACACATGCTTGGTCATTGTTGATATCAAGGCTCAATCAGGCTTCTCGTGGGATGACGAGCTGGGTGCAAGCATCGGGCCCCATAATTTGACAGTTTGGGAGGCCTATGTGACGGTACGAGCTATATTTTCAACTTGAAAGTGCAACGTTGATCTCATTTTTGCCCAGAGGAAGCCCCCGGCCAGGAACTTCGCCAACAGCGGCTGGGTTCATTTCCATGACGTCCACCGGCTTCTGCCATCAAGAGCTCGAGGAATGAACGTCTTCCGTCCATCCCAATCACAACCTGAGGCTCCAAACGACGCTGCGGCTGCTGGAGCTAGCCAGGATGTTGATGGTGTTAGCCAGGAGACTCTCGAGCGGCCCATTTCTAACTGGGTAAGCCCGATTATGTCGTGACCCAGTGTCATTCCTCTTATTGTTTCTATATTAGTCCCCGACACCCTCGCCTGAGCGGGAGCTCCAGGCTCGGCAGCCCACTCCGCCTCCCGATCAGCCAGTCTCTCCTCAGGC